CAGGTCTTCGCTGCTGGCGGGGGACGTGCACACGAAGCGGACGCGGTCCCAGGTCGGGTTCTCGTCGCCCATGAGGTCCAGCATGCGCGCCCTCTCCACGCGCAGCTCCTCGCACCAGCGGCCCCGGGGCTCCGCCCATATGCCGAAGATGATGTTGGGCGGCCATGCGTATGCTCCGCCTCGTCGTTAAGACTGAGCAGGTGCTCCGCGGCCCTGATCTGCTGGTCGCAGTGCTCCTGGCCGTAGAAGCAAGCCCAAGCCCATGACTCCCGCTTGGCGTCCTAGAACCAGTGCTGGGGAGTGGACGCGCGCCTCGGCCGTGCCTCAAGCTTGTGGTCCTTCGGCGGCGCATAGTTGTCCATGTCGGCCTCCGTCGTCTTCGGGAATTTCGCACAGCTGAGGCAGTAGTCCGGCAGGTGGATGTGATCGCGCCCGCCGTGCTGGAACGCCGCGAGGCCGTGCGCGATGCCGTTGGTGATGTTCGCGGGGAACTGGATCGACCGGAAGAGCGGCCTCGAGTTCTGACCCACGGACCTCAGCGCGTGAAACGCGCCCTTGCCCAGCAGCCCCGGGCACAGCGTGACCGTGTAGAACTCGCACCCCCTCGCCATGAACGTGAGCTGCTCCTCCGCGCGCCCGATGCTGGCCAGGGTGCCCTTGGCTGCGCCTCCAGACACCTCCGCGCGCTTGTTGGCCCGCCCCAGCTCGCGCACCAAGTTCTGCAGCCCGATGCCGACCTCGGACTCCGGCGGCGGTGCCCCCAGGACCCTCTCCTCCTGCGGCATCGAGGAAGCTCCCGCGCACAATTCGCGCGGGCGCGTGGCCCGCTCCACGAAGGAAAGCTGATGGGGCGGCCTAGCGGTCCAAGGTGTGGTTGAGCTAGCTCCTCCCGTCCCGTAGAACGCGCCCGGGTTGAAGCGGGCCTGCGTCTCCTGCCGGGGTGGGCGGCCTCTGGCCAAAGCCGAAAAAGCCCAGGCCCGGCGGAGGTCCCGCAGGGGACGGCCCTGGTGGTGCCGCTGTGCCCGACTGCCCGTCCCGCACGGGCCAAGATGGCGCCGTCGCCCTCTGCCCGCCTGCTGCCGCCTCGAAACCGTCATAAGACGCGCGGGCCCTCAGTCCCTCCTGGGGACTGGCCCACCTCGCCCCCCTCGAGCTCCTTGCTCCATGCCTCCTGGCAGCCTCTGATGAGACTGACGCCCACCTCGCTGACGCCTCCTCCGTGCATCGCGTCGGCTGCCTCGATGAGCTCAACGAGCAGCTCGTGCCTGCCCATGCCGCTCTCGGCCGAGATGGCCCTTCTGGCTGCCCCGTCCGTGAGTCCATCAGCGCGCTTGGTGAGGTAGGCCGAGATGAGCGACGACTTCGGACCCTGACTCCTCTGCCCGGCCTCCTGCGCCTGAGCCCTCCTCAGCTTCGCGTCGAGGTCCGACTGCGTCTCGCGCCGCGTCGGGGTGGTGCTGCGGCTCCTGGAGCGTGCCCGCTTGGCGAGGTGATGGCGACTGCGGTCCTTGCCGAGCCCTATGGCTGACGCCGGGCCCAGGACATCACCCCGATAGTTCGTGCCGTCGCCGCGGTGCGAGAGCCGCAGCGCTGCGCCCGAACGCCAGCAGATGGCGGGCGGCAGGGCCCCCACGAACTCGTCGAGCAGTTCCGGCCTTGGGGCTGAGAAGGCGCCGTCCGGGATGGAGGGGGGCCAGCCCCAAGCCGACCGCCTCCACGTCCGCCCGCGGGTCGCCGTCGTTACAATTTTTGATCGGGCCGACAAAGCGCGCCGGGAAGCTGTAGCACGCGCCCCACTCGTGCTTAACATCTGCCAGGGGGTCGCGCACGCGCAGCAGCCAGGCTGCATCAGCCTCGGCCTTGGCGGGGCTGCCCTTGCGGCCCGAGGCCCCTGAAGGACGGCGGGCCGCGCGGCCCTCGTCACTCCTATATGGTACCCTGCTGCTTGACCGCCGCTCTCATGCTTCATCATCTTGGCGGGGCGGGGCCGAGCAGCTGCGCCAGCCCACCGTCCGATCGGCATCGTGGGCCGCACAGAGTGAGAAGCCGTCTTTCTGAACCACGTGGGCGCGATGGCACTGCGAGCGCGCGCGCTTCCGCGTCGCTGCCTGGCTCTCGTAGGTGCCCGCATGGTGAGCGCATGCCCGGAAGGCCCAGGTAATTCCTTCCCCCTGCATCTCGCGCGCGTCGGATACGGCCGCGTCCTCGACCAGCATGAAGACTGGGTCCTGCTTGGCCGTGTCCCTGTAGCACTTGGCGCTCAGGACTTGGGTACCGTCCTTGGTGATGTACGCCCCCTGGTCAGCCTGGCAGACATCCGCGCTGGGCTCCGACTCGGTCTCCGAGTTGGGGTCCATCTCCGCGGCTTTGCTGGGCAGCTGGCCTGGCTTGGGGTGCCTCAACCTCCTCCTGGCGCAACGCCTGAGCAGCCTCCAGCCCGCCTTGCCCGCGCCACGACACGCCCATGAGCAACAGAGCCCGACGACGGCCCAAGCGCGTCCGGCGGGGGAAAGCTTGGCCAAGTCTGCCACGTTGATCGAGGAGCTGCGGGCCACCACGCGCGAGGAGCATACGCGA